TGACGCAATATCCCAAACAGTCTCTAAAACATGGAAAGTGAATTAAAAAGCATTATTAATTCACAACACTGTAACTTATACCCATTATATGCTATTGGTATCACAACTAGAAGAGATTTGACTTGATTTGATTGTATTGCATGCTTTTACAGTATGTTTAAAATATATTTTAATCAATAAAATTAATTTAAAACTGTGGAAAAATGTTGGTGCTACCGTTTGACCTTTTTCATTTTGAACATGCAGTTTTTGTTTATTAAAATTATATCCCATTACTAGTAGAGTCAATTGGACTAGATAATAAAGATTTTATATATTTATCATAATATAATGATCAAATAATGATTTTGACAATGAAACATTGACTAAAATTATGAGATTTTTGTGACTAAACAATGTAACTGAAATGAAAGCTGGTCCAAACTGGTCTGAGAATTTTTTCCTACATTGGCAGTAACTACATTGATTAGGAAGTAGTCTAACATATAGGCCTACGAGTTCTTGTCAAAATACTCCCAACCGAGTCTTAAAGTGAGTTTAGGAGCCAGTTGGGGGCACTTAAGACTGATTTGGGATGCCTGCAGTTAGTCTTTCCACCTGCGATTACCACTGGAGCGTCTTAATAGGAATTTTGCTAAAAAGTAACAGTTTAATTAAAGACCACATGTTTCTGTAATGAAAAGGGAACATGCTGAGAGAACATCAGCAAGATTGGAAATCTCTCACATAATTTCTTCTAATACACACTCACGCAATCCAATCCAGCATATGTATGGCCAATCAGAAATTCATTCATCACACACATTAACACCCCTGGAAGTTAAGACCATCAGCATGATTAACGATCATTTTCTATCAATAAACGGCTGAATGATGGCTGATTGCTGCTCTGTTCTTAAGTATATAAACTGGCCGTAGGTGAAACAGATTGAGCCGTTTAAAATATTTAATTGCGAAACAGAACAGCAAGAGAACAGAGTTATTCTTGGTGAACACAGCTGGGAGCAGATGAATGGAGCATGTGTGTAGATGTTTCTCAGATTGCATGTATACATGCTCTGTGCATCCTTACATGTGATCACGATATAAGAAACATTCTCCTGAGAGCAACCGTGAAAGACTAACATGTGATTTAAGATTAATTTAAATATCATGTTTCCACATTCCTACAACCTTGAGCCACCAGAGATCAAAGTGTTAGTTCTAGTTCTAGCACAGTGCAAATTAAAGATCAATAACGGACATGTCAGTTTAATCAATTATCTTGTCAGGTTTTGTTTTAAAGACACATTTCCAACTACATTTCCCAAGGGAAATCTGCATTAAATTCTTCACGAAGAACAAACTGTGCCCTCTGATTACTCTGAACGATGACTCTTTTTTGACTCGCAACCCTTTTTAATAATTGAATTGGTTAAAAAGAGCATACATTTTAGTTAACCAATTTTGTAATTGAAAGAGAATTTTCTAAACTGACATTAATGTGGGAATCAATGAGAGGCTCATGAAGATCCGTCTACCTCTCAATGACAAGTGTTACGCGACAGTCATCAGCGCGTACGCCCCCACACTAACCATTTTTACGCTGACCTCAGTTCCGTTCTGCGCTCTGTACCAGCCAGCGACAAGTTGATCCTGTTAGGAGACTTCAATGCTCTTATCGGCCAAGATCACACCAGGTGGAAAGGAGTTCTCGGGAAGCATGGAGTGGGAAAGACGAACAGCAATGGCCTACTACTTCTCAGCAAATGTGCAGAGTTCAAGCTCCTCATCACGAACACTATATTCAGGATAGCGAACAAGTACAAGACAACTTGGATGCACCCCAGATCATAGCAGTGGCACATGATAGATTACATCATTGTGCGCCAAAGAGACATCCGACACGTCCTTGTCACCAGGGCCATGAGGGGAGCAGAATGCTGGACGGACCACAGGCTAGTTAGAGACATACTCCAGCTGCACATCGTCCCTCACCACCCAAGGCATGCTAAGGTCATACGCTCAGCATTCAACATCGTCAGACTCCAAGATCCTTCCTACCTTCACAAGTTTCAGTCCACACTGGATGATAAGCTGTCTGCCAATGGACCACTAACTGGAAATCCAACTGAGAAATGGAACCAGTTCAGGGATGTAGTGATGGAGACAGCCAAGGAGGTGTTAGGCCCCAAGGAACACACTCATCATGACTGGTTCGATGAGAATGCAAGTGCCATTGGAGACCTGCTGGGCATGAAGGACAAAGCATTCCTGCAGTGGCAGAAAGAACCAAGGTCCGCATCCAAAAAGGAGAGATTCAAGTCCCTCCAAGCCCAGGCACAGCGAGAAATCAGGAAGATGAAAGGTCAGTGGTGGGAGATGGCGAAAGAAATACAGCACTACGCCGACACAAACAACGCCAGGCAGTTCTTTGGATCTCTCAAGGCAGTCTATGGTCCCACAAAATCTGGTTCTGCCCCCTTACTTTCTGCAGACGGCACCATGCTCATCAAAGACAAACAGGGCATCAACAACAGATGGAGAGAACACTTCAGCCAACTGCTCAACCTCCCATCTGCAGTCAACCAGTCAGCCCTCGACCAGATCCCCCAAAATCCCACTCTTGAGCCCACCCTCAGACCCCCCATCCCTAGCTGAGGCTCAGAGGGCCATCAAACAAATGAGCTCTGGCAAGGCAACCGGCAAAGATGGTATCCCTGCAGAATTGTACAAGGCACTTGGTGAGGAGGCACTCCAGGCATTCCATGAAGTTCTGACCAGCATCTGGGAAGAGGAAGATATGCCCTCGCAGCTCCGTGACGCCATAATAGTTGCCCTGTACTAGAGCAAAGGCACATGAGCAGATTGCGGCAACTACAGAGGTATCTCTTTACTCTCCATCGCAGGCAAGATCCTCGCCTGCATTATGTTCAACAGACTACAGACATCAGTCTATGGACAGAACCTGCCTGAGTCACAGTGTGATTTCTGCCCAGATCGCAGCACCATCGACATGATCTTCACTGTGAGACGGGTGCAGGAGAAGTGCCTAGAACAGAACATGAACCTCTATATGGTCTTCATCGATCTGACCAAGGCATTCGACATGGTCAACAGAGACACGCTGTGTGTCATACTCAGAAAACTTGGCTGCCCAGCAAAATTCACCAAGCTGATCCAGCTGTTTCACATCAACATGACCGAAGAAGTCTTGTCAGGTGGAGAGCCATCCGATCAATTCGGCATCTCCAATGGCGTGAAGCAAGGCTGTGTCCTCGCTCCAGTGCTCTTCAATCTGTTCTTCACCCAAGTGCTGCTACATGCTGTGAGAGACCTGAACCTGGGCGTGTACATCAGGTACCATATCGATGGTTCACTGTTCGACCTTCGCCGCCTGGCCGCCAAAACAAAGACACTGGAGAGGCTCTTCACAGAAGCTCTCTTTGCAGACGACTGTGCTTTCATGGCGCATCAAGAGAATCATCTACAGACCATCATAAACAGATTCTCCGTAGCAACAAAGCTTTTTGGCTTAACTATCAGCCTCAGCAAGATATAAGCTGAGTGTTAAATAAGCTATCTTCAGGTCCACCAAAGGTTTAGATATGATACGGCTTGCTAGAGGAACAGGAAGTTTGTAGAAGTTTTGTTGACAGCCATCGTCCTGTGTGGCCTATACTAGCTTTGAGGAGACAGCAGCACTCACAGGGCACCACATCACTCCTGGTCATTATCATGAAAGAGACCGACTCTTCTCGTATGCCTTAGCCCAGCGTTCCTGGCAACTGTTGCTTTAGAAATGTCCCAAGGTTCCATCCTACCCTGAATCTCAGCCTGTGGAATGGAGAATGTTGAGACAATGATGTCACAAGGGAAATAATGGAACCTTGAAGCAGAGCAGAATTATTTTGAATTGCACTGGAATCAGGTCACGCTTGGACTTCCTGTGCAGCTACACCGTTTTAATGCAACCACTGAAGCACTTTCCGGTAGGGGATGTGTGAACTGAGAGGATTGGTTGGTAGTTAAGTGTTAGCGAGACGTTATAGCATCCCTGAGAGAGAAGGGACAGCGCCAAGGATGGTTGGGGCAGTTATTGAAACGTTCTTTGAAAGCAGAAATACAGAATAATTAGACTATATGTGAATAAAAATAAAATGAGTGCAAAGAGTAAAATGACCACCAAACCGGTATATGGTGTTTGGTGACAATTGCATCCATCTTTAAAGTTCTTATACTATAGGGATGATTCCTGTTTAACAATGGAAGTATGATGTAATCTAGCTTTAAACTGACTCTTCGTTAAGCCCCGCCTTAAAATTCTACTGACCAATCCTACTTTAGCAACTGTTGCCATTCTTACCATTCGCCATTTTGCTGGACAAGCGTTTGCTTTTTTTTTTTATGCACATCTAGGATATGTGTGATTGGATTGTTATGCAAATAGGGATTAAATACATTTTGAAATGCAACGTTAAACTATGTATGGCCCCCATTCGCAACTGAACATGTAGAACTACATTTATGTATTGATTCAGGTCATTGCTGTGTTGATAGTGAATGTGTTGCAGAAATGCTAGAAACCGTTCTGTTTACTTACACTAATGTGATCAGCTGTAATCGCTTTCAAATGAGGATTTTCTCATTTTAATTGACAGTGAAAAGTGTTTGCCTCAATTTCAATTTGCGGTCTTTGCAGTTTTTAATCACTTTGCTGCATAATTTAAACATTTATTTACAGAAAATGGTTAAAATACTTTGCAATGTCCTAATTCTTTCCAGAAATGAATCTTAACTAAAAATCGCACTATTCGCAGAAATCTCAAGTTCATTCCTTTCCTCAAGACACGTAATGCCAGGTATCTAAGACTTGAAGGCAAACGACTTGAATTAGTGAGACGTGACTTGGACCGAATGCAAAACACTGGCCTGGGCTCATGTCTGGTTTATATCGCTCACCCTTATTTGCCAAGTACCCTGCTGAGAAACTGATGGCGTACAAATCCTTCTCTTTTTAGGGCCCTGACGGAACTACTGAAACAGCCAGGCGAGCCCGGGGCTGTGGACAGAGGAGGCGGCGGCCACCACCCTATGGGATCCAACGGCATCTCTGGCAGGTCAATGCGCACCAACAACGGTGAGTCAGAGTTTCAGAGTCTCTGCTGACTGTATAATAAATGTCAAATAAAATATAATGAATGTCAAACATTCAGTGGTGGGGTAAAAATGAGCCTTGACAGGTTGCTTGCATTTGGTTTTTAACCAGGAAAAAATGTCTGCCCACTTTTTTTTCTTTTTTTTTTTACACACCCCATTGGCATCCTCCCCCCTTTAAGTATAAAGTCATTTAATTTTGATAAATTTAGCAGAAAACAAGACTTTTACATTTAAGCTTAAGTTTTAGACATTTGGTTATGTGTTTTTGTCATTTTTATTACTTTTTTTTTTCTATTTTAAATGTTCTATCAATGATTTTATCCTAAGGAAAAAAAAAACATTTTTGCAGTATAAAATACCACTACCCTTAACTCTAAATATAAACTGTGCCATGCAACTCATTCTGAAATGTGCTACGGGGCACAGGTTTATATCGCTCACCCTTATTTGCCAAGTACCCTGCTGAGAAACTGATGGCGTACAAATCCTTCTCTTTTTAGGGCCCTGACGGAACTACTGAAACAGCCAGGCGAGCCCGGGGCTGTGGACAGAGGAGGCGGCGGCCACCACCCTATGGGATCCAACGGCATCTCTGGCAGGTCAATGCGCACCAACAACGGTGAGTCAGAGTTTCAGAGTCTCTGCTGACTGTATAATAAATGTCAAATAAAATATAATGAATGTCAAACATTCAGTGGTGGGGTAAAAATGAGCCTTGACAGGTTGCTTGCATTTGGTTTTTAACCAGGAAAAAATGTCTTTTCTTTTTTTTTTTACACACCCCATTGGCATCCTCCCCCCTTTAAGTATAAAGTCATTTAATTTTGATAAATTTAGCAGAAAACAAGACTTTTACATTTAAGCTTAAGTTTTAGACATTTGGTTATGTGTTTTTGTCATTTTTATTACTTTTTTTTCCTATTTTAAATGTTCTATCAATGATTTTATCCTAAGGAAAAAAAAAACATTTTTGCAGTATAAAATACCACTACCCTTAACTCTAAATATAAACTGTGCCATGCAACTCATTCTGAAATGTGCTACGGGGCACGAATTGTACCTCAAATTTAGTCTTGATGAGGAGAGGTGTACTTTTACTTTTATGCAATCAGACTTTTGCCTGCAAGAAGAACGGAGAAAAAAAAAATCATAAAGAGTGCTTTTCTTCCCCAGAACTCCCTGGCAATCACATATCAACACCTTTTAATCATGGCAATGACTTTTATTTTTGTAATTCTATTAATGCCACTAGAGGTGCAGCCATTACACTTGAAAGCTTTAAGATGACTTTGGTTTACTTTAATAAATTGCAAATTTTTTTTTAAAATTAGCTATGTCATCATTCAGTACATTCACATTCTCTTTGCAGTCAAAACTAAAGTTCTTGCGCGATCACGACCCATTAAATGTTCCGCAGATACACACCATCTGACAACGTTATTTACAAAATCTCAGCAAACACACTGAGGTTTAAAGGCCATCACCTTTTGACCCTGTGATAGTAATGAACTGGAATGAGGGAGTAATTAAATTTGCGGATATGAGAGGTCCTACTGCTGCTCCCTCTCAGCCTTGGAAGAGGAAGTGGTTTAACGAAGCAACTGTGCTAATTAAGGCATAATTAAGAAACTTCAGCCAAGACCTGCTGATCAAGAACACACTGTCCTTCTGTCTGAGAATTAGGGACCCATTTATCTCACCATCTCACACACGCACTTCATCACAGCTGTGAGTTTTCCTGAGGAGTGTGAGAATTTCCACTGTGCCAGTGTTTCTGCTTGTACTACTTTTATCATCTTCCTTCTCTAAATCCACCTCCTCAATAAGAGTTTAATTAAGTGCTCATTAAACCAGCTTGATCACACTAAGGGACACAAGGGTCTAAGAACAATCCATCTGCATATACACACACACACACACACACACACACACACACAAACATACAGCTGAAGAGTCGTGACCGGTAGACCCACGTCGACATAGGTGGTCAGGAAGGATGAATGGATTTGAGAGGAGGAGGAAGACAGAAATGAGGTGATGAAGGTGGAGTGTGATGATGAACTTGATGAGAAGAGTGCTTTACAAATAGGGGCTAAAAAATAGACCTAAATAAATAGAATTATAATTTACAAAAAGCACAAACATTTATTTAATTCATTGATTAATTGATTAAAATTAATGCATGAAACAATTTTGTTAACATAAATGTGTGATAAATCTTATTTCGGTTCATTAGTTTAACATAGCGGTTTCAGTGAAATAAACAAAACGGCAGAAAAAAAATTATATATAAAATTATGTATTAATAAAATATATAAATAATATATAAAAGGATATAAAATGGCAATATAAAATAAATAATAACAAAATATAAAATGCTATAAAATGTATTAATGTTTTCAGATTAAAAAAGTAATTTAAAGGGCAATTTTTACATCAAACTGTAGGTAATTCTTGATGTAGTTGGTGGTTTCCCCTGTTTTTAGACGTGTAAAGTGGTCTGCAATCTTTGTTGGAGTCCACCACCTGAAAAAGTTTGAGAACCACTTTCCACAGGAAGGAAAATGAGATTTTAGGAATCAAGAAACCCAGGTGAGAGAACCTGGCAGAGAAAAATAGAAGGAAAATGAGACCAAGATTGAATGAATAAAAAGTAAGAGAGAGATGGGAGGGGAGGAAAAAGACCTAAGGGGAGGAATAAAGAAAGCGCGAATGAGACAAGAGGAAAGATGAATGAGTGTGGGAGAGGAATGGTGTGGGTGTGATAGGCTGTCGAATAAAAGGAGAATTAGAGTGATGTTTAGAGAGGAGAATGAGAACTGTCTCTTTCATCCCAGCTCAACAAATCCTGAGGTCATGACCTTTTGCAGACGTGTATACTTTAAATAAGCCTCATTATTATTATGATCATATTTCCAATTATATAACAGTCAGGATCACAATTTAATCATAGCTAAGGTGAATATAAACACAAAGCAATAAACTCAGGCATGTAGCTCAACCCACATTGTTCTTGCTGTGGACATTAATAATATCATGCAGCTTATTGTCATTATGCCCTGGCGATCACCCACAAACACCCTAGCATAATGGTGGCACGTTTTGAAGCCATGCAAAACAACTTTACACTCTTAAAAGTAAAGGTTTTCTAAAGAACTATACTCTAAACAAAAAAATGGTGTTAAATAGCACTAAAAGTGGTTCATTGGCTTGTAATCATAGGGGAACCACTTTAAGTGCTATATAGCATCTATCTTTAAATGTCAGCACCTTTCACCTCAGATTTCAGATATGTTACTCCACTCTCATATGTTTGCTATGAATGGGAATTTACTACAATGGCAAAAGCTGTTTTGAATCACTTTTATGCTTTGAGAACCTTTAAAGAACTCTACAGGGGGTTTAACAGGTTTTTTTGTATGGCAGTGGCACCTTAACCACCCCAAAGAACCGCTGAAGAACTATACTGGGCTTAACAGGTTATTTTATATGGTAGCGGTGCTATATGGCTCCTCAACCACCCTAAAGAACTGCTGAACCAGAATTATTAGTTATTAATGGAACATTTTGATTCTACACTCTAAGGCCTAGTTTCACAGTCAGGGCTTAGACTAAGGTTTAGGCCATAGTTCAATTAGTATCTTTGATAAACGTTCCTTAGAAAAAAAAACAGTGGCACTGATGTATATTTTAAGATATGTCAGTGCAAGTTTCTTTCAGTTAAAACAGCTGACATGTTTTTTAGTCTGGGCCTAGACTTAAGCCTTGTCTGTGAAACTGGGGGTAAAAGTTTTGTCAGGCAACCTTAAAAATGTACTTCATATGGTAACCTCTACAGTTTTATTGATTTTAATCAATCTGGCTACAGTATGCTACAATGGTAAAATAATTTGATCAGGTAAAAGTGAACTTCTTAAAGTAATGATTTTACAGTCTAATTCAAAACAATATTTCTAATAAAGTAGCTTGCATAGTAAATGATATTAATATAAACATCTCAAAACATTTTCCACCATTTTCTTTTTTAGTCAGCTGTGAAGACAAATACAAAACCACAGCAAATTGACTTCATTTTCAACTACACGTTTCAAAAAATGAGTGTGTGTGTGATTGACAGCTTGCTTGTGACAGGTGGAGAGATGTTCATGTTCATCTTACAGTTCATCTTTGCTGTTTGGCCGAGAAGTCAAACTCCTCTGGAACCACCTTCAGGCAAAAACACTTCGTTTCTTTCACCTGCTCTGGAGAGACACATCTCTTACGCAGATATTTTTACTGCTGATATAAGCATGTTTTTCCTGCATTTCTAAAGATGCAGACCTTACGGGTCTGGCTGAGTGCAAAATGCTTCATATGTGCAGCTAATGAGTGCAACAGCATGAGTTGTCACACTGTTTGCATTTGATGATGAGACGCTGCATTGTTCGTGTGCATGTAAGGGAAAAAGACTGTGCCATATGTGCCAATCATGTTCTTGGCAGACAGCGTGTGTGTGTGTGAGGTCGAGGTGTGTTGTATGACAGACCACCCATGAAAAACACATCCATCACATCAAAATGTGTGTGTGTGTGTGTGTGTGTGTGTTGAGGATGATGTTAGTGTCCATATGTCTGGGAGTATATTTTTATCAATGTCGTTACTGTAATCGCAGTCTAGCACTGGTGGTATAAATAATGTTGTATGTACATAAATATGTAGTACATTTCAATAAGACAAAAAGGATAAAAGACTGGGGGCAATTTTTACGTTAAGTTTTTTATCAAGGTCATAAAACACTAAATTATGATTTGTCTATCAATGTCTATAATAGTTAACTGCCTTGGTTGAATTGTTTTTAATAAAAAATTGTTTCATGGCGGCACAATGTTTTGCAGGTCAAGGGAGTTGAATAATTTTGATTGCAGCTGTACACACACATGCAAAAGTTTATTAATCAGCATTTATTTGTAAGATTATAAATGTCTTTACTGTAGCTTTTGATGAAGAGTTGCTGAAAATTCAACTTTGCC